TGATAATTCAACTACGCTTATACGACATTAAACTTATATAGAATTTATTCATAAAATTCCAGTAATGATTTGTAAATTTAAAAATAATTTTTTTTAGTATATATATATCTATAATAACACAACTTTTGCATAAAATATGCTGATAAGTTAATATTTTTAAATAATATATTTGTTTAAAGGAGAAGTAAATTATAGAAAGTAACTGTGCATTATCCATTTAATTCAAAGAATTCTTAGTATGATTGGAATTCGCTGATTATACGTCCGAATAAACCAAATTAATTTCAATGATTCACTGAATTAATTTCATTCGAATCATTAAAAAATGCCACCTTTTAAAGATTTATGCTCAGGACAATTTATTTTTAGTGAAATTCCAGTAAAATCATCGATAAAAAACGTTAAAATTCTCCCAATTCTTGTAATATTTAGCCACGAATTAAGCACTTGTCACCAATTTTAGCAATTTTTTGATAAAAATGTAAAGTTTAGAGATACAAAATTTACAAATAAACTCGAGTATTTGATTTACTGAGCAATAATTTACTGGATAATCAAATTGTTTTGCTAGTTAAATTGTAATTTAACGTTTGTGAAAACATAATTTAACTAAATATTTAAATGAGATAAAAATAGTTTAATTTGCAAGTTTTAATTGTATTGAAAAATCAATTGTTAGAGAGTTTTAAAGTAATAAAAGTATCGTTATTCTATTTTTGTCTCAACGTAATAATAAGTTACAAGTCACCAATATCCATTTTAATGTTTAGAAATCTTGAAGGAGAGGAATTTAAATGTGTTAGAATTATGCGATAGAATTATTACTTTATAAATCATATATATTTATTCTTGAGAATAATTTAATAAATTTGCCAAACCACAGTTTTCTTCATCGCTTTGATCGGAGCAATCGATGTCTCCGTCGCATCTCCATCCATCAGGGACACAAGTTTCTGATTTACAATGAAACTGTTTAGTTGTACATTCTCTAGGCGCTAGAAAAAAGTTAATTATAATTAATTAAATAAACTACTCGAATTTATTTCTTGTTGTCGAAATTGTAGAAAAAAAGAAAAAGAAAATTCCAATTTAAATTACATTTAATTCCACCATTAACGAGGAAAAACACGAATGCTATTTAACAAAGCGTACATTTTAATACTGTTAATATTTCGATTTAAAAGGGTTCATCACGTTTTAATTTTTTTACGCTTTTATTATTAAGATTTCTGTTTATTATATGTATTTATTTATCATTAATATTTGCAGAAATTTAGATACAGTAGAGCGTCGATTATCCGAAAGTCAATCATCCGAAACGTCAATCATCAGAAAGAATTCCAGTCGGCAGATTTAAATTTTCGCCAGTGCTGTGGCGCTGCAATCTTTGGCTATGTCTTCGGCTACTCAAATGTTTTACGTTTTTGATACTAAATTAACTTCTGAAGTATAATTTTTTATTGTTTTTATATTTTTCAATATATTTATTTTGTTTGTACAAAATAAAAAAATAATTTTTAACGATACAATAGTCTTCGTTAGGCTTAACATCAACGAAAATTCAACGCGAAGCGACACGCAACGGAGAGAAATTTCAACATGGGATAAATTAATATATTTTTTCGTACATGATTCGTTATCCGAAAAATAAGTTATCCGA